ATTAAATTTTCTTCAGAAGTCACCTGTTAAAATGCATTTTAGTGATTGGAAAAGTATCTTGAAAACCTATCTGGAAAATTTTAGGTCACTTTCAAATTAAAAGAAATTCAAACAAAAATGTTCAATATCTTGACAATCTAGGTAAGTTTATTTCACTAAAACTTTTGAAATAAAAGCCTTGCATTTAAATTAGAAATTTCTATTTCATCAAAAATACATCATGTTTCATCATCTTAATTGTTCCTTTGAGACAAGATATTTTTAATATATGCATATTTGTGTTTTAAAAGTTGTTAAAACAGGGTTTTGTCAAAAGGAAAAAGTGTTTTAGAGACTTTTAATATACAATGTAATAATTACTATAAAATTAACTAGGTCACTTAAAATGTTAATAAAAATCAAGATTCACTTTTAGTTTTTCCCCTTAGCCTAGGTAGATGTGGTCTGCATAAAGTAGGGATGGGGCCCTCGGCAGGTAATTGTGGAACAATATATATACCAAAGCTGAGGGATTGTATACTTCAGCCAGAGGCCAGTAGGAGGAGAAATGTGGTGAGGATCCTTTCCGCCACAGCCTGTGCACGTTTAAAGAGTTGAAAGGCCAGGGTGGGTGCAACAGAAGTAGATGGGAGTGTGCAGTGCTGGGCTGCCCCTCCTGTTTGAGAGGGGGAGGGGCAGAAGGATGGGGTAGAGAAGAGAGAGAGAGAGATGTGCTGTGTGGGAACAGGAGGGAGGGAGGGGGGACATATACATTCTAATTCTTCCAGACAGACTAGACACAGAAATTCAAGGTATATGCTCTATTCTCCAATAGAGATTTGATTTTCATGGAAATTTGCCCTAATATTATGCAATAAAATGAATGTAATTTTTAGTGAAAACTACGAAAGGATCCAGAAAGCTAAAACTCAGAAGGTAATTAGAATTGGAAAATAAGCAAAAGAGAATTCTGGGTAGGTGAGGAAGTCTGAATCTCTTCATACGTCCTCAAAATGACCAGATAGGCAAATAAAAAAATAAAACTAAATGAATCTCATATCTTCAGCCCAACAAGAAGACAGACAAATGAAAAATTTCACGTTAACTGATGGAGGAAGTAGAAAAATATGTTTAGAATAATGAATACAGGGTTTCTCATTGTTGGAAAAAAAATTGCAAATAGATAGTAATTGGCTAGACTGAAATGAACCCTATTATGTTAAATTAGAATTGGGGTGTTAGTATGAACTCATGCATTCATCTGTATGTATTTATAATACACACATATACACACAAACATACATAAATATAGATATAGAAATGGACATAGAGGTGTGCATATGTATACAGAGACGCAGTTATATGCATACAACTATATGTATACGTATACACATAGGCACATACATAGACACTATCTTGGTTTCTAAATACCATTCTTCACTTAAAGGAGCCAGGGCTCCTAGGAGAAATGGCTGATTCTAGATCTAGGACAGGAAATTTGCAAGATAAATTTGTACATTTTGTGCTAGAAAATAAGAAAGTGCCCAAAGAATGATGGAGACATGTCAAAAAGATACAGGAGACAGCTTGAAGAGGTTCCTACCACCCAAATCTCAGACAAATTGAATTGAAATAAATAATAATAGTTATGTATTTGATCCACTGAATAAAATAAAAATTCATGAATCCATATAGATACAAATCAATAATTGAATAAATGAAAGAAAGAATGAATGAATGAAAAGGGAAAGCTCTTTGTAATAGTCAAATGTCATCTAGTAAATGTGGAACAAATGGCGAGTTAGAAAAGCACTCTTTGGCGAATAGTATAGAGATAATTTGATTCATTTAAGGATAATCAATGAAGAACATCTCCTATTTTAAGTTGGTTGAAATCTCCAGATTCTAGGGTACTGATTTGTGCATGAAGCCACTCAGAAACCTTTTCTTAATGACAGAAAACAAAATTTGGGTGGCAAAAGACAAGGACTATGGATATTTCCTGGTTTTCAAAAAGAGAGAGAGAGACAGAAAAAGAGAGACAAGAAGAGAAAGATAGAAAATTCTGTAAATTTAATGAATAAACTGCCATTTAGAATAGATTGAGAAAATCAATGATCATTATTACAAGTCTCTGAGAAAAATGTCACAAAATAATTTCTAATATTCAACATACCACACTAGACAGTAGATTTTGTAACTTCTAGAAATATGATAGGACTGTTCTAAGTACATGCAACAGATGTATAAATTGAGATCAAAGTTATTATCTTATATATTTTGTAGTAATACAACATTTTCAAATCTATTGATATGAAAAAATTATTTCCTAGACATACCTTTTACTGCCACATCTGAGAACTCTGTGCCCAACTCCTACCCACTCTGTGATCCCTTGGAATCATCATTGATTCACTAAGCACACACAATAGCAATCTAGGACAGTATCGTTAACAAGCATATCTTGATTTTAGTAAGGTATTTAAAGGATTCATTTGTCGTCTTGCACTATATTGGAAGATACTGGTGAGATAATGGAGACGGAGAAAATTTTCACTATTTGAATACATATTCAAGGAGTTGTAGTAATTGGATTAGTGTCACCCTAGAAAAGTGATGGCAGTCATTTGCCTAGCCACATGGAGAGCTCTTCCAAGAAACACAATTCTGTTTGACACCAGCATGCTGTTGCATGTGCAGTTTTAATGCCTTCCATCCAACTGATACAAAGACCCCACTCTTTCTTTACGACTAAGCAAAAAAACCTTGCCTGCCGCCTTCTTTAACAGTTAACTCTGTTTTTGTAGGACTTCACATCTTTCTCTGTTGGCATATATTTCCTGTAATGTTTACATGTCAATGTCCCTAATTTCTCTATGAGACTTTCTAAAGCAATCCCAAGCCTTATAGACACTTGGATCTGGGCACAGGCCTAACATATCCAGCAATGTGTGGTGAAGGAGTAAAAGAGGAGCATGGGCATGTTGGAGTTTTGGTGGTTATGTTTTCATTGTCATTACAATTATGCTGAGACTGAAGTTAATTAGGACTAGCTCCCTCCAAAAATCAGAATAAAAATCTGTCTCAAGAGCATTGCAAGGAAACTTGATAACCTGGTGAAGCCTTTTTATCTAGACTTCTACAAGACGGGAAAAAACCCCAACGAACTATATAAGCTTGTTTTACTAAGTGCACTTCTCTCTCAATTTAATTTTGTTTATGGAAGTTAGTTCCATATTTTCATTAATATTTCTTCTATGCATTTCTTTTTGTGGTGAGGAAGATTGGCCCTGAGGTAACATCTGTTGCCAATCTTCTTCTTTTTTTTTCCTCTCCAAAGCCCTAGTACATGGTTGTAAGTCATTCTACTTCTTCTATCTGGGATGCCGCCACAGCATGGCTTGATGAGAGGTGTGTAGGTCCACACCCAGGATCTGAACTGGTGAACCCTGGGCCATCGAAGCAGAGTGCATGAACTTAACCACTCAGTCATGGGACCAGCCCCTTTTTCTATGAATATAGAAGTTAAGTTAGGAAATATTAAATTATCTCTTTCTCTTCTTCTTAGCATTATTTATTGGTTTTATCATTGACTATTTGGTTGTTGCTTTTGCTGATGTTATTTTACATATACGTAATGAAAACTCGTCACAGTTCCATCTCAGGAGAGGTGATCTTCTGTCTTCTGGAGAATAGATACAGACTGACTAGATGTTGAAATAAAAACACATTCATCACAATATCCAGGAATAGACTGAAAATAAATGCAGGCTGGTTATGCCACACAAAATTATATATACAGCTACACAGCTGTCACAGCTCAGACTACAGAGGAAAGAAATCAAGGGTCGATGGAGATAGGGTCTGAGTCAGTAGAAAGAAATCCATGTAGGAGCAAAGAGACACTTCCAAATAAGTGTCCAGAGGACAAATCTGAACTCAGCAACTGAGAGGCAGCAGGGGCAGATGTATAAGATAAAGAAGGACAGTTGGACACTGAAAGAGGGTCCAGATGAAGTTTCTGGAAACCATTCTCGATGGTGAGGCTTTTGAGAGTCCCTCCCTCTGTTAAGTGCATGACACTTTGAACTGGCCATCTAAACATCTATAACATCTGATTTCTCCAGCGTCTGTCAATATGATTAAGCATTAAGGAGACGGTTTTTGATAAATGGAAAATTTAAAAAAAAAACTAACCAGGAAGGCCTTAATCTTCAGAAGAATTTCATTCAATCTATGGATAGAATAATCTTCAATTCTCAACATAGAATATAGTTAATGGCTTACATCTGTATGATAACAAAATGAATACAGTTGCAGAATTACGTTCAATAGTATTTTTCAAAATTCCAGCAATTATTTAGCCAAACACATCCAATTTTTTGAAGAATTTCCCATGTAAAGAACATTTAAGGAGAAAAGTATCTAGAAAGTTGTTGGAGGAGATCATGCAGAGGACATGGCTGATGACTGACCCACGAGGTGGACCCATGCAATCAGAGGCTCCTCCCCACTCCCTGGTCCTTGGAACGCACATTCTGCCCACTGCTCCCACACTAGGAGCCTCTTCAAGGATGCAGCCTTGAGAGAGTATGCTGTTCAGACCACCTGGACAGTATACGTGACTGGACCTGTTAAGGCCTCGATGTAAACTCTTGGATTCTGGTGGGCAGGTGTGGAGACCTACTCTTTCGCGGTCGCCCAAGACAAACCTCTTGTCTAAGTTCCCTGGCTTAGTAAACCTGCCGCCTGCCAATCTGGGGTGGTCTGCCTCGTTCTTCAGTCTCCTCTTGCCCTATGTGTGTGGAGGCCAGTTTCGAATTTCACTTGGAGAACTCCTGAGGTTGTGAGCCAACAAAGGGGAACTGTATTTTCGTCAAAGAAAAAAAATGTATTGGAAATAATACCATTTATTTAAATTAAGTGAAAAGTCTGAAACGTAATATATACATATGAATTATGTAAATAATGAAATGATTTTGTTATTACATGTTATTTCTCGTTTTCCTACTTTCCTCTAGATTTTTATGTAATGGTGAACCTGGCTACAGTGGATCTTTCTGTGAATTGGATATGAATGAATGTGAAACCTCACCTTGTCCAGATGGAGAAAATTGTGTCAACAGAACTGGTGGCTACAAGTGCCTGTGTGCTCCTGGTTATACAGGTAGACCTCTTCTGCCCTGTGTGTATCAGCACAGTGCACTCTGTAAATAAATGGCACCTCGTATCTACTCTCCAAAACCTGAAACAATCTGTCACATGCAGATAAGACAGGAAGGGCCAGAGACATTGTCTCTTGTAAAAGAAATTGATGAAAACAAAAATTGTGCTTTTTAACCTACAATTTGCTAAAGACTAAGAAATATATGAATTATTTTTCAAGATATTTCACGCTTTTATTCATTTTTGGAGTTTACTTGAAGCATGTTTATATGGCTATAAAACAGAAAAGAAGTATTGGTGTATGAATAATCTAAGAGAAATAATACTGTTGGATCCATTACAAAAATGCCATTTAAAAAATATAATGTTTAGGTCTTTTTATGTGTGTGTGAGGAGACTGGCCCTGAGCTAATATCTGTTGCCAATCTTCCTCTTTTTGCTAGAGGAAGATTGTTGCTGAGCTAACATCTGTGCCAATATCTATGCCAGTTTTCCTTTGTTTTATATGTCAGACGGCACCTCAGCATGGCTTGACAAGCAGCGTGTAGGTCCACACCCAGGATCCAACCTGCGAACCCCAGGCCAGCAAAGCAGTGTACGGACTTAATCAGTACAGCACCAGGCTGGCCCCAAGTTGAGCTCTTTTAAATACACTTATATGCTAGAAATCACTCAGGGAGCCCTTGTGAATTTAAAGTTCTAGCAGAAAAATATGACTTGGAGTTAGCTATCTTAATATCAATTATTCTGCAACACAAATTCTATACCAATATAAAGACAAAAGTCATCAAGGAACTTAAAAAAGGAAAAAGCATTAGCTCACTAAACTTTTGCAGAGAAATTGCATTTATGAAATACAAAGAGCTGTATTGTCTTGGCACACCTATATCAATCAAGTGGATCCAGCCAGAATGTATTCAAATCCCAAATCTCACTTTATTAGTGTCTGAATTCTACACCACTGGGATCTTTTGGGTTCCTTTCCTGAGGAAAACTAGTTAAGTGAGTTCAATAGTCGATACTATGCTCGCAGGAGTCAAAAACACTAGACAAATAGAAATGAATTGACAAGCAAAACTGGTGATGAACGAGAAGCTTTTTCAGTGAGTAAGTGATCAAAGACAAGAGAAAGTTCAGTGACCAGAGCAAAGAACATGCAGGTGTTTTCCCGGGAATCCTCAGGGCTTCAGAGAAGGTTCCCTTGGGAACAACTGGCACATGCACAAACGTGTCAGCTTAAATTAAAAAAAAAATTGAAAACCATTATCTGCAGATTTTATTACATAAATAATAAGCATTACATTTTGACAGTAAACCAGCACCCTTTCTAAGTTTCATATTGGCCATCATCTTCCAAATTATTGAGATTTTTATTTGGGACCATAGATATCCAACTTGCACTGCCATTTGCCACACTGTTGTTTTGCTGCTCCTACTGCTGCTAACAGTGATAAAGCAAGAAATGACACATTGAGCTCAATATGACCGAAAAACACATTTTCTATAATTATTTGATATAACACATTGTTCTGATATTTTAAATTTATCCTAAAGTTTGAAGGATTAGCACGTTCTTTGTTTTTCTTCTCACACCGTCTCTATTTTCATTGCAAACTATTGTGCTTAGTGTTGTTTCAAATTTAAGATTGACTTGCCAGTTAGACACCCCGGTGGAGAAGTTGAGTACACAGTTGGCTGTGTGAGATAGTCTGCAATGGAAACGTAAGTTGAGAGTCTTCAGATATACAACTATGATACTGCATAGGATCACAGAGGAGTGAATGCAGATAGAACAGGAATGAGGACCAAGAACTGAGCCCAGGGCCACCGGAATATTTAAGGGTCCAGGAGTGGAAGAAGAACCAGCAAAGGAAGTTGAAAAGAGCAGTCAGTGATACAGGAGGAAAAAACAAGGGTGGATAAAGTCTGGAAAGCCACGTAAATTATTTCAAGTAGAGGGAGTGATCGACAGTGTCAAAGGTTATTATTAAGTCACATAAAACAAGGACTGAGTATTAACCATTGGAGGTAGTAATGCAGATGTTATTGGTGACATTGTCAAGGAAGCAGTTTTGCTGGAGTGGAGGGTGCAAAATCTGTCTGAAGTGGATTTAAGAGATAATGTGACAAAATTAAATTGCTCAGATGAATATACACAATTTATTAAAAAAAGATTTTTATTAAGAAAGAAACAAGAAGAAGGGCAGTAGCTTGGGGAAGGAGTGAGACTAAAAATATTTTTTTATAATTTACGTGATTATTGGGGCCGTCCCAGTGGCGCAGCAGTAGTTCGCACAATCCGCTTTGGCGGCCCAGGGTTCGCTGGTTCTGATCCTCGGTGTGGACATTTGCATTGCTTGACAAGCCACACTGTGGTAGGCATCCCACATATAAAGTAGAGGAAGATGGGCACGGATGTTAGCTCAGGGCCAGTCTTCCTCAGCAAAAAGGAAGATTGGCAACAGATGTTAGCTCAGGGCTAATCTTCCTCAAAAACAAATTTTTACATGGTTATTAAATGCTTCTGACTTCTGTGTGGAGAAGGAACTGGGGAGTTTCTATAATAGAGCCAGAGGGACAAATCAGAAAGCTTTGGAAGCAGTCCAGGCGATAGATTCCGGGGAATTGGATTAGGATTGCCCAGTGGAGGCGGTGAGAGATGCCCATACCTAACGTATCATAATTACTCACTAAATATTCCTGAATGGATGAGCATTGAATAAGATATTAAAATTAAAGTATAGCATTGAATTAAGTAGTTTTTATTAATCATTTTTAATCAAATTATGTCCCCTGTTTACCTTTGATTTAAAAATTTCAACTTATTTTCTTTGATTCATTGCATTTTGAAAAATTTTTATTTTCTCTTATTTTGGGGTCTCAAGCTTTTTTGGACCATGTTTTTGGGTTCACGGAGCACAGATTGTGCCATTGATTAATGAGAATGCCACTGAAGGATGAATGATTCCTTGGGCTTCCTTACAATCTCTAAATCTGAATTTGGCCTGTTTTCCAAGCAAAATTTGAGTTTTGAACTCAGCAAATGATGCTTGATTTTTGGTTGACTCGCTTATAGGCTTCTCACAGTGAAAGGAATGAGCTTTCTTCTTAATTTCAAAAAGATGTATTGGAAGGTTACAAATACCCAGCTCACATCCCATCATAAAGAGGGGTTTTCCCACCGGGTTTGCTGGGCTGGAATGAGTGCTGGGGTGAACTGACTCTGCAGTAACTGGGGCGGCCGAGGTGCCTCTGTGGATGTAGTCAGTTCTGAGTAGATCCAGCCCTCAATTCAGGCCAGGTGTATCCGAGATAGGCAACTTGCTATCACTGCTTCCTGCAAGGTGGAGGATTAAAATTCTCATACTTGTATTGGAAAGCTATGACCATAAAAAATTACTTCATTCATATTTACTCTCTCCATAACACTGATATATCTGAGAGAGATCATAGCAACATGATATATAACTGATGCTATTAATTGCCATGGGGAAAAATTATGTAGGAAAATGATTATAGGGGATGACGAGAATTAGTTTAGAAATTGAGGAGGTGAATATAAACAGAGCAATCAGGGAAGACTATGGAAAAAGCGGTTTAGTTTAAGACTGATGTGCAAGTTATATATTGGTACATACACACATATGTGTGTAGATAAAGAGGTAGATTGACAGATATCAAGACCCAAAATTATGCTTAATAAGCTATAAAGATGAGAATATTTCCATAATGACAAAAATTTGTATATTTATGTAATTGGACCATTAAGAGAAGAGGTTAAACCAGTAAAGAAGCTTTGCTATTTCCAGAGGATCTTAGAATCTTCATGGTGTGTATATAAAACTGTATAGAAAAAAATAATCATCACATCACAAATTAAGTAGGAGAAGCGCTCAAGAATTTTAGCTGTAGTTGTTGGCAGTCTGGCAGTCTGCTGTATTAGGAAAAAAACAGAAAGTGTACAAAGATTAATATAATTTTAAATATTTTGAAGATTCACAGATTCCTCAGAATACTTTCGTTTCCAGCCCTACAGGTAATCAGGGCCCCATGCTTAGCAATGACTTCGCTTTTCAGTTGCTTCCTAATCATGGCTCCGTAACAACCTTTAGATGTAAAACGTACTATCCTGGCGATAACGCTGGAAAAGATCTGCTTTGCCCCAATGAAGCACCGTGGGGAGCGGGGGATCCTGTTCTAAGGCAAACATAGGAGACAGCAAACCTCTCCCGAGAAGCAACGTCTTTCATATTCTTCAATATTTCTTCTGGTATTTACCTCCATATTTTTAAATAGCATGCTTATACTGCCATGTCTTGATTTTTTCTATTTTGCACATTATCTAAGTAATTTTTCCTATGTAAAATGCGGATTTAACTCTGTTGTCACAATCCCCATTCACCAACACATACACACTTTTCCTCACTACTTCCTCCCAAAATGGTGATATCAGAAATTTTTATTAGTCAAAAAGTCACTGTTAATATTATTATACCCATATCAATTTTTCTCTCTAATTTTATTTTTATTTTTGCTCATTTGGGGAAGGATTTACTTATACCTTTTTTTTCCCAGTGCTGTTGTTATAGTGTTAAAGAACATTTACCTCTCATTTTTGATTTCCAAAAGCTCTTTCTTCTTATCTAATATTTTTTAGTGCATTCTGTAAATTTCGTAGGTAAAAAGTATTATCTCTTCTGTATAATATTTATAGAGCTTTTGTATTGTTTTGTTCCTTGCGTTGTCTTAATGTTCTCCAAATTCCTGCTTCTCCTTTATGTGTGTTTTCTTTTTACCTATCTCTTTATTTAGAGCTGTTTCTCTAACATCACATAATCCTTGAATGCCAGTCAAATATCTAGGAGAGAACCACTAAAATGCTCATTGAAAACTCTGAGTGAAGGAGAGTGCTTGCCTGGTGATTTTGGTCCTCTGTGTGAGTGGACATAAACACCAGCTGTTTTCTTGGAGAAACCTGGGGTGTCATTATTGGTGGGCCTT